AAATTTGAACAGAACCATTTGCAACAGAAGCATGTAATGTGGAATATGATGTCATGTCGTAAACTTGAGCTCTATAATTTGTTTTCGATAACCTTACCATAAACAAATGGGTGGGTTGGGGCACCCGAAAGTACACACACACACACACACACACACACACACACACACACACACACACACACCGACCCACCCAACCGATGTCTACATGTGGACTTTTGTAACTATTAACTATGTCAATATTTGATCCGCTGGTGTCTTCTAGCCTTGGCTAAGTGTTCTACGAAGGGACTTCTTTTCCACTTAAAAGCAAAACGGGTGAGTCTGAACCCAGAGGTGGTGTGGAAAGGGGGGGGGGGCGCAATACTTTTTTTCCAGGAGTAGTTATAATATATTCCTTTTGTAGTCCATAAAAATGTGTTACCCTACATTCTAATTGTTTACCTAAGTTGTGCAGTCATTTTATAATTGAAAAAAAAAAATATATATTTTCATATTTTAATTTTTTTATTTACACCTGACACTTTTATCACTGTCATCCGTCCGTCACATTTTGACGATGGCGATGTAAACTTCCCAGGTCGAAATCGTTAGGCCTGTTGGTTTTTTTTTCTTTAAAAGGATAATTTGGTTATCTAAAAACTAATCACATTAACTGTGGATTAGAGGGGCACCAGTAGCGTCTCAGGAGTTGCCAGAATGTTCATTGCGTCAACTGTCATACCACCTACGGGACTCCATCTTCGGGTTTGAAGTCCCAGTTTTACTTAAATGTGTTGCCATCCAAGGGAAGCGAGTCCCATCCACCCGTGGTGCTGGTGGTGTCTTGCTTGTCTTGGCTTTTGCTGGGGTTTGAGTGCTAGTCAGTCCACAAGTTTGGGTAGGGCAGGGTGGGGGCATTTACACCCCCCTCCCCTGAATTTGCAAGTTTTATTAAAATTGCTATGTGCTCTGGCGCCTACAGTAATAAAAAACTTAACAAACCGACCAAGTTTTGGTTTTGTCCCCCTCCCCACTGAAGAAACCTGAGATGACGCCCCTGGTGAAAGCACCCCAGTTTGGGTAACCCTACATAAGATTGTGTAAGTTTTCGATAAACCGGGTGTATCGTCTTCAGAAGCACCTCCACACTGCAAACTTACAATGTATACAAACGGTCCTTAAACTTGACATGTGTCTTCAGTTGAATTTGTTGTAAATCGTGTGCTTTAACCATCCCACCTCACACAGCTGGGCCTGTGTTCACCTCCCCTCTGACTAGTCCCACCTCACACAGCTGGGCCTGTGTCCACCTCCCCTCTGACTAGTCCCACCTCACACAGCTGGGCCTGTGTCCACCTCCCCTCTGACTAGTCCCACCTCACACAGCTGGGCCTGTGTCCACCTCCCCTCTGACTAGTCCCACCACACACAGCTGGGCCTGTGTTCGCCTCCCCTCTGACTAGTCCCACCACACACAGCTGGGCCTGTGTTCACCTCACACAGCTGGGCCTGTGTCCACCTCACACAGCTGGGCTTGTGTTCACCTCACACAGCTGGGCATGTTTTCACCTCTGCTCTGACTAGCTTTCTACGGTTAGTTTTCATCAGATCTTGATGTTCTCCAAATCCTTGAACTGTTCATTTGATTTTAGTTTTGGGGTTTTAAAAGAAAAAAAAATTAAAGGGGAGTGGGGGCAGTTATTTTTAACTTCCTTTCTTCGTATTTCATGAAATAGTTTAAACTGAAGTTCATTCAAAATGATTAAATGACAAGACGGATGACACCAGAATAGAACAGGAACCACTGCGATACAAATAGGGTTTCTACATTGAGCCATTTGTAACAACCAAACGTCTTCACGTAGAAAACCGAAAACAACAGAGTAACTGGGTCCACGCCCATAACATGCCTCTCCACCATTGATGTCATAACCCAGTAATATTGTTAATTTTTTTAAAAATAAACACACAAAAAAAGCTTAGATGAATGACTATTTTTTCTTCATCCTGGAAAACAGAAGGGCTGGCAAAAGAGGGAGAGAAATCGGTAGGTTCCGTAGAGTTGCAAAGGTGGATCACTGCATGTAAATATCCTGCTACCTTTGGATTCCGGCGATTTCTCGTTCAAATAGGAGATTGCTTTTGTGTGCGCCATTGGGTATGTGGACATCCTTGTTTGCTCTTGGGGCGCGAATATTTGCACACCGCCACAGTGCGCGTTGGGTTTTAAAATAAAAATACATGCACCCGGAATTTCAAAGGCATTGAAGTAAGATGGGAAACTGCAGCTTTGGTGAAAAGTAACGAATGGGAAATATATAGTTCATGTCAACAGTGTAGAGAAGACTCGAAGTTTTGCTTGTGTAACAACTAATGAATCCGTTGATGTCTTCTTGTTATAGGTTGTTGTTGTTTTTAAGTAGAATATGTTTATTATTTATCGTGAACCTCAGTTTGAAAGACTACTCAAGAATGAGCTAAGTCACGGAGTTCGAATTTTTGATCACATTTAAATACTAAGTTTCATAAAGAATATTCCTTGACTTTTTATTCAATGTACTCCAACTGCATTCCCATGACGTAAAACAATCTCCACACAAACTGAAATTTTAGCTTGAGGTTAATGAAAATAAAGATTAATTGGGTCAATTACCTAATTAATTGGACTTCCTGAATTGCATCCCCCCACCCACCGGCAAATAGAAGAAATCCATGTGCCGCATGCTAAAAGCCTCTGATGTACGCCACTAAGTGCGTCCAATCACACAAAAGAGCAAGTGCCGCATGCTAAAAGCCTCTGATGTACGCCATTAAGTGCGTCCAATCACACAAAAGAGCAAGTGCCGCATGCTAAAAGCCTCTGATGACGCCATTAAGTGCGTCCAATCTCAGGTCGTGTTTAATAATAGCGCACTAATATTCAACCAATCAATATGTCCGCTGACATTCGCTAGTTCGCCGTGAGAAAATACCCGACGAATGCAAGGGGACGAACCGAGAGGAGGGGAAAAAATTGGATTAAGTCTACATCTTGGATTGACACGAGTAATTACCTGGTGGGAGTAAAACAAGAAAATCAAGTAGGTAGTTGGTGTTTTTTTTTAATATATAAATCAAATGTGGGTGTGTGTGGGGGGGGGGGGTCCCTTGACTGAGTGACCAGCTAACCCATTTACGGACACAATCGATTGTTGTTTTTTTATAAATATATATCACTGACTTAACCCATCAATAGATACCTCAAGTCTCTATTCCCTTGCGGCCAATAGATTTGCCAGCTTTTGAAAACGTTTTAAGATAGTCAAGTAAAAAAAAAAAAATCAAATTGAATAAATAGAGACATTAAATTTTACTGTGAATAATACAAGAGAAATATACAAATCAGTTATTTTATCTTTCAACAATTTCAGGTAAATAGAGAGAGGTTGTTATACAACAGTGTTATTTTTTTTTTGTTATGTTATTATTATTTTTTGATGATGATCTAAAGCAGGCCTGCACAACATTCCGCCCGCGGGCCGCATGTGGCCCGCCAGCACCCACCTTTCGGCCCACGAAGTAACGAAATATTCGTTATTCTCATTATTTTCTTAATAGCTTTCCCCTGTCCTATTTTCTTTCTGCCCGCACAAGTTTTTCATAAGGTATTATGGGCCGCCTTACATTTTAAGTTGTGCAGGCTTGATCTAAAGGGAACTACTACGATGTAGAGGGGGGCGGGGGGGGGACAACTAATAATGTAAACTTAATACCATGTTATAAATTCAAACGTATATTGTTTCATTCTATAGTTATCTCATGCAGGAGCGTGTCCAGTAAAGGTGACTGGGGAATGATCACCAACCCATCCCACTGACCCACCCGGCCCCCACCCCGAAGTTCTAATTATATTTTGAAAAATACGTTGTGGCTGTTTTCGGTCGATTAAAGATATCTATAGATATTTTATTATTTTTTCAAATGCAATTTGAACAAACGGACGTTTCGATAATAATCCAAGCGTCACCTTTTGTGTTATGTGATGTGAGTCAAACTTAGACTTGGTCATACTATTGACATTTTCAATTGTGGTTATTACTGAGCAAGTTATGGTTTCCCGTAGCCGGAAATTTGTCGAATTTGTTTTTTAGTTCGCATGCCCACATTTTCGTCAAATTTATTTTTTCTGAATGCACTATACTATATAGTAAAACAAAATAATGCGTTTAAAAAAAAACATGTTTTCCACAAGACTCTCTCCGTTATTTTCTAAGTCTGTCCCGTTCAAGATGGTCATCATATCACTACACTAGCCGGGGAGACTAACAGTTTGACCATGTTAATGTTCAAGATGGTCATCATATCACTACACTAGCCGGGGAGACTAACAGTGTGACCATTAACTTAGCGATGGACAACCACAACACATCGCACACGTTGACTTTCATCAGTCGGAACGATAGTTTCCTCCAACTCACTGCCAAGGTGTTCGGGGTGTGTGTGTGTGGGGGGGGGGGGAGAGGGGGAGCACACATAGCCAATGATTTAGTAAACACCTTTAACAATTCACAGATCTCCAAACTCTGTGGACCACGCATTGATGTCTGGGGCCCTTATGTTTGCTGTGCACAGGGCCAGTGGCGTAGCTAGGAGGGTGTGGGGGGGGGGGGGGGGG